TTTTTTTTCTTTTTCTTTTTTGTTCTAAATATAATGTTTTAGATTGTGCTTGGTGAATGTGACATGGTTTTTTTTACATAGGTTTTACTGGATGCGTCTAAACGGAAAGAATATGATGATGAGTTGAAAAGGGAAGAGCTGCTGAATTTTTTCCGTAAACTTCAGAATACTTCCCCTGAGGTCTGAGCTTCATCTCAAGTTTCGTAGATAAAACTTCTATAGATTTTGTAATCTGCTTGTATTTTGTCCGGTATATATTTGCATTGTCGTATACTGAGGCAGTAAGAGGCCACATGAGAATTTGTTGCCATATTATAATGAATTAACTCTGCCAGCGATTTATCGCGTGCAAAGTTTTTCTAATATACAAGGTTAATAACTCAATAATGATTATTTATTTTACTGAATGTGCATTCATGGGCTGCCTGCTTACATCAGGTCCACTGTGGTAATATCCTGTAATTGCTTCAAGTTCAAATTACGATCATTTCGGCTGGGCGTTTGTTTTGATCGAATTGTTTTAGATGATTCAGTTTATACCTTGCTTCAGCTTTGCTTTATTACGTTTCCAGAATAGAAGCCATGGGATATTTAGATCTGGCTTTGGTCGCTCGGAAGCTGACGGTGAGGACCCACCTGGAGAGTTAAAGCGGATAGCATGCAAGAAGTGCGGCTTTTTTCACACTTGGGCTTCTACCAAGAAAATCAAGTCCAGAGCAAGATGGTGTCAGGTATTTTGTCTGTCCATGGGATTACGGATAGGTTGTAGACGTCATTTATTTGCCTCTAAAAGTAGAAGCGAAATTCGAGTCACGAAATTTAAAGCACCCGTAGCCTTTGTCTATTAAGTTATTAAGAGTCACAAATCAGAAATCAACATTTAATGACACTGGAAACTAATTTTTCCAAGCCACAGCCCATTCTCGGCTTCTGATTGTAGTAATGTCTTAATTTTGTTATTGAAGGACTGTAAAGATTTTCATCAGGCTAAGGATGGGGACGGATGGGTCGAGCAGTCTTCACAGCCCATTTTTTTTGGAATGCTTCAGCAGGTAAATGCACCATAAACCGCTGCAGATTCTTGACATGTTAACACATTGCTGCTAATTTGATTAATTTTACATTCAGGTTGAAGCTCCCTGTGCATTTGTATGTGCTGGAGGCAAGGTTTATGATGCAACTGAATGGTTCATTTGTCAGGTAGCCTTTGTTTTTTTTTTTTTTT